AGGCCGCAGTGGCTGTGTTTGCATGCGCTCGCCGCATCTATGTCAGCACCCCCTTTGCGCGTTTCGTGGTCCCATAAAGCGCGCCACCGAAGGGGCAAACACCAGCGTTCGCAGTCGCCCGTCGCGCCCATTCAGGCACGCCCCTCGCGCGTTTCGCGGTTCCAACGGGAGGTCAACCGAGGGCCGCTGTGGCTGCGTTCGCATGAGCCCGCCGCGCCCGTTTCGGCGCACCCGTCACGCGTTCCGTGGCCCCATTGGAAGCGCCGGCGAACATCCCCGTGGCTGCGTTCGCACGCTCCCGCCGCCTCCATTTCGCGCGTTCCTCGCGCGATTCGTGGCCCTGTAAGCAGCTCTATCGAAGGCCGCATTGGCTGCGTTACCCGCCGTCACCATGCCGACACACCCTCCAGCACGTTTTGTGACCCCATCAGGAGCTCCACCGATGGCCCCAGTGGCTGCGTTTGCATGCTCCCGCAGCGCCCATGTCGGCGCGCCCCTCGCGCGTTTCGTGGCTCCATATTGGGGCCCCACCGAAGGCCGCAGTGGCTGCGTTTGCATGCGCCCGCCGCGCCCACTTCGGCACGCCCCTCACAAGTTTCGTGGCCCCAGAGGGAGCGCCGCCGAAAACCCCAGTGGCTGCGTTCGCATGCGCCCGCCGCCTCCATTCCCCCCCCCTCGCACGTTTCGCGGCCCCATAAGCAGCTGCACCGAAGGCCGCAGTGGCTGCGTTCGCGTGCCCGCCGCCCCCATATCGACCCCCCCCCGAGATTGCGTTGCGGCCCCATGGGCAGCTCCACCGAAGACCCCTGTGGTTGCATTTGCATGTGTCCGCCGCGCGCATTTCGGCACACCACTCACAGTTTACGTGGCCCCGTATGGGGGCCCCACCGAAGGCCGCAGTGGCTGCGTTCGCATGCGCCCGCCGCAGCCATGTCGGCGCGCCCGTCACGCGTCTCGTGACCTCATAGGGAGCTCCACGGAAAGCTCCAGTGGCTACGTTCGCATGCGACCGCCGCGCCCAGTTCGGCGCGCCCCTTCGTAAGTTTTGTGGCTTCACGGGGATCTCCGCCGAATGCCCCAGTGGCTGCACTCGCGTGCACAGGCCGCGCTCAGTTCGGCACGTCCCTTCGCGCGTTATGTGGCCCCTGCGGGAGCTCCGCCGAAGGCGCCAAGAGCTGCGCGCGCAGGCGCCCGCCACGCCCATTTCGGCACACGAACCGCGGGTTTCGTGGCCTGATGGCAGGTTCCACCGAAGAAGTGATTCACTAGTTCGCTGCTCGCAACTGCATGTGGTTGGGTCCTTTCCACCAGCTTGTTTTCCAACAATCCTGTCGTGTTGGGTCCTTGTTTGGAAGAGAGAGCGCCTCGCCTCCCTCCCCCCCTTCCCGCCTCCTCCTCCCGCTCCTCCCTTCTCCCATCCTTGCGTCTGCCTTCCGCACCAGTCAACGATTTCGGCACGCTCTCACGTTTCGCGGTCCCGTGCGAGACCCGCCTGAGGCCCCAGTGGCTGCGTTTGCAGCCGCTGTACCCAGTTCGGCACATCCCTCACACGTTTCGTGGCCCCAATATGGTGCTGCATCGAAAGCCGCGCTGGCAGCGTTCGCATGCGCCCGCCGCATCCATTCCGGCACACCCCTTCACGCGTTTCGTAGCCCCAAATGGAGCTGCATCGAAGGTCGCAGTGACTGCGTTCGCATGCGCCCGCCGTATCCATGTCGGCACACCCTTCACACGTTTCGTAACCTGAAATGGAACTCCACCTGAGGCCGCAGTGGCTGCGTTCGCATGCGCCCGCCGCATCCACGTCGGCACACCTCTCACATGTTTCGTGGCCCCAAATGGAGCTCCCCAGAAGGCCGCGCTGGCTGCGATCGCATTCGCCCCTCGCATCAATTTCGGCACACCCCTCCAAGGTTTCGTGGCCCCAAATGGAGTTCTCCACCGAAGACCCTGCTGGCTGCGTTCGCATGCGCCCACCGCAGCCATGTCGGCACACCCTTCACACGTTTCGTAGCCCCAAATGGAGCTCCACCGAAGGCCGCCGTGGCTGCGTTCGCATGCGCCCGCCGCATCAATTGCGGCACACCACTTACACGTTTCGTAACACAAAATGGAGCTCCACCGACCGCCGCGCTGGCTACGTTCGCATGCGCCCGCCGCGTCCATGTCGGCACACCTTTCACATGTTTCGTGGCCCCAAATGGAGCTCCCCAGAAGGCCGCGCTGGCTGCGATCGCATTCGCCCCTCGCATCAATTTCGGCACACCCCTCCAAGGTTTCGTGGCCCCAAATGGAGTTCTCCACCGAAGACCCTGCTGGCTGCGTTCGCATGCGCCCACCGCAGCCATGTCGGCACACCCTTCACACGTTTCGTAGCCCCAAATGGAGTTCTCCACCGAAGGCCGCCGTGGCTGCGTTCGCATGCGCCCGCCGCATCAATTGCGGCACACCACTTACACGTTTCGTAACACAAAATGGAGCTCCACCGACCGCCGCGCTGGCTACGTTCGCATGCGCCCGCCGCGTCCATGTCGGCACACCCCTCACACGTTCCGTGGCCCCAAATGGGGCTTCACTGAAAGCCGTGCTGGCTGCGTTCGCACGCGCTCTTCGCAGCCATTTCGGCACACCTTTCACACGTTTCGTGGCCCCAACTGGAGTTCCACCGAAGGCCGCGCTGGCCGCGTTCTCACGCGCCCGCCGCACTTCTTTCGGCACACCCGTCACAAGTTTCGTAGCCCCAAATGGAACCCCACCGAAGGCCGCGCTGGCTGCATTCGCACGCGCCCGCCGCATCCATGTCGGATAACCCCTTACACGTTTCGTAGCCCCAAATGGAGAGCTCCACCGAAGGCCCTGCTGGCTGCGTTCGCATGCGCCCACTGCAGCCATTTCGGCACACCGTTTACACGTTTCGTAGCCCCAAATCGAGCTCCACCGAAGGCCGCAGTGGTTGCGTTCGCACGCGCCCGCCGCATCCATGTCGGCACGCACCTCACACGTTTCGTGGCCCCAAATGGGGCTCCACCGAAGGCCGCGCTGGCTGCGTTCGCATGCGCCAGCCGCACCTATTTCGGCACACCCGTCACACATTTCGTAGCCCCATGGGGAACGCCACCGAACGCCCCAGAGTCTGAGTTCGCATGCGCCGGCATCACCCATGCCGTCACACCCCTCACACGCTTCGTGGCCCCATAGGGAGCTCCACCGAAGGCGCCGGTGGCGGTGTTCGCATGCGCCCACCCCGCCTATGTCGGCACGCTGTCACATGTTTCGTGGCCTCATAGGGAGCTCCACCGAAGGGCCCAGTTGCTGCGTTCGCATGCGTCCGTCCAAATCGTGGGCGGCTCACCAGTCACACGCTTCGTGTCCCAATAGTGACCGCCACCGAAGGCTCCGGTGTCGGTGTTCGCATTCGTCCGCCCCGCATATGTAGGTACATCCCTCACACGTCGCATGGTCCCAAGGAGAGCTCCACCGAAGGCCGTAATGGCAGGGGTCGCATGCGGTTCCACCCCAATTTCGCCACAACCCGCACACGCTCCGTGGCCCCATAGGGAGCACCACCGAAGACAATATTCACATTTGGGTTATTCAGAACTGCGTATGGTTGGGTCCTTCGCCAGGCTAATTTTGTTGATTGTTCTCAACTATCCTGTGGTGTTGGGTCCTCGCCTTGAAGAGACAACGCCCCGCGTCATTCACTCCTTCTTGCTCCCTCCTCCCATCCCTTGGACCCCTGTCACATTGCATGGCCCCATGGGGAGGTCCACCGAAGGCTCCAGTGGCAGGGCTCGCATGCGGTTCCACCTCTATTTCGGCACACCCCTCAGACGTTTCGTGCTCCCATAGGGAGCTCCACCGAAGGCCCCACTGGCAGGGGTCGCATGCGGTTTCCACCTCCATTTCGGCACACCCCTCACACGTTTCGTGGCCCCAGAGTTCCACCGAGGGACCCAGTGGCAGGGTTCGCGCGTGCGGTTCCACCACACCCTCACACGTTTCGTGGCACAATAAGGAGCTCCACCGAGAGGCCCAGTGGCAGGGTTCGCGTGCGGTTCCACCTCCATTTCGGCAGACCACTCACACGATTCGTGCCCCCACAGGGAGCTCCACCGAAGGCCCCAATGGCAGGGGTCGCATGCGGTTCCACCTCCAGTTCGGCAAACCCCTCACACGTTTCGTGACCACATAGGGAGCTCCACCGAAGGCCCCAATGGCAGGGGTCGCATGCGGTTCCACCTCCATTTCGGCACACCCCTCACACGTTTCGTGGCTCAACAGGGAGCTCCACCGAAGGCCGCGCTGGCCGCGTTCGCGTGCGGCTCCACCCCAAAGTTGGCACGCCCCTCACACGTTTCGTGGCCCTCTAGGGAGCTCCGCCGAACGCCGCAGTGGCAGAGTTCGCATGCGGTTCCACCTCGATTGCGGTACACCGCTCACACGTTTCGTGACCCCATAGGGAGTTCCACCGAGGGCCCCAGAGGCAGGGTTCGCATGCGGTGCCATACCGATTTCGGCACGCCCTTCTCACGTTTCGTGGCCCCATAAGGAGCGCTACCGAAGGCCCCAGTGGCAGGGTTCGCATGCGGGTCCGCCCTCAGTCCTTGCACGTTTCGTGGCCCCATAGGGAGCTCCACCGAAGGCCCCAGTGGCAGGGTTCGCATGCGGTTCCACCTCCACTTCGTCTCATCTCTCATACGTTTCGTGGCCCTGTAGGGGGCTTCGCCAAAGACGGTACTCACATCCACGGCACTCACAGCTGCTTTTTGGTTGGGTCACTCGCCAGACTAGTTTTTGTATGTCGTTTTTGTTCACTGTTCCTGATTAGCGGCCAGTCAGGTTGGAGGGGGTCTGTATCAAAAGTACAGAGCAGTGAGAGCGGGGCATCTCTTCTTCCGCTCCTCTTTATCTCCTCAGGGGGATTGCACGTCGAGTGACGGCACGAGATGCGAGAGGCGGGAGCAGCAATGTCAGCTTTGCTGCACCTTCCGCCCCAGAACATTGGCTGGCACACCCCAGAGCAGAGCTACTCCGAGGAGGCGGCCCACGGTGTGGACGAGTACTTCCCCATGCACATGCGGGGCGCGATTGTCATGGCGATTGAGGCTCGGGACGATGCTCTTTGGTTTTTGAACCGTTTCGCTCGCTGCACCCCCCGGAAAAAAAACATCCTTTGCCTTCCTGTCTTTCGGGAGGCGGTGATGAGCGGGATGCTGGCAGGCACCGGCAGATCTCTGTTCTTTCCATGCGGCTTTTGGTGGTTCCCTGGGCGCTCTGTATAGACTATACGCACCGAGCGTTGGTCCCGCTGGGCCCAGCGTTGGCCCCGCTGGGGCCAGTGTTGGTGGATAGTTGGCACCCGCCGAAAGCTGTGAGCGCCGTCCTCGTTCCGAGGGCCCTGGGAGCTCTGCTGCTGCGCAGGGGGGGCCAGGAGCCCAGGAGGCGCCCTTGGCGAGGCGTTCGGAGCAAGCAGCTTTGCCGAGGGCTAGTAGTCGTGAGCGACAGCATGGTGAGGCAGCCGGCTGCGGGGAAGTCACAGTAGAAGGGGGTTGAGGAGCCATGAGGGGGAGGCGGAGTAGGAGGAGGAGGAGGAGGAGGAGGAGGAGGAGGAGGAGGAGGAGGGAGGAGGAGGAGGAGGAGGAGGAGAGGAGGAGGAGAGGAGGAGGAGGAGGATGATGATGAGGAGGAGGAGCAGGAGGAGGAGGAGGCGGAGGAGGAGGCGGAGTAGGAGGAGGAAGAGGAGGAGGAGGCGAAGGCGGAGCCGAGGCGGAGGCGGAGGCGATGGAGGCGAGGAGGAGGAGGAGGAGGCGGAGGAAGGAGGAGGAGAAGGAGGAGGAGGAGGAGAAGAGGAGGAGGAGGAGGAGGAGGAGGAGAGGAGAGGAGATGAGGATGAGGAGGAGCAGGGAGGAGGAGGAGAGGAGGAGGAGAGGAGGAGGAGAAGGAGAGAAGGAGGAGGAGGAGGAGGAGGAGGAGGAGGAGGAGGAGGAGGAGGAGGAGGAGGAGGAGGAGGAGGAGGAGGTGGAGGTGGAGGTGGAGGTGGAGGAGGAGGAGGTTGAGGAGGAGGAGGAGGAGGAGGAGGAGGAGGAGGAGGAGGAGGAGGAGGATAGACGCCTATTCCTATCCCGATCCCCAGTGGGCCAGGGCTCCTTAGCGCCACACGCCTGTCCCCTCTGTGAGGGGATGGATGCCGCGAGACCCGACAGAGACGGCATCACTGCCCACCTAGGGAGGGTATGTTCGGGCAGCAGGGCCAAGCAGTTCCATGTGGAGATATGGATCGATCTAAAGATGCTGAGGGTAGGAGGGGGCAGCAGGGAGAGCGGGGATGGGGAGGAGAAAGGAGAGGACGAGGTGGCAGCGGCGGTGGCGGTGGGGTACCAGGGACGGGGTGAGGCTGGGACAGGGGGAAGCCTCCTTCACTCCTTTCTTCTTCTGCCTCCTCCTCCTCCTCCTCCTCCTCCTCCTCCTCCAGCCCCCTTCCTTGTAAACGTGGTTGCACTCGCGCACAAGGGCTGCATGTTCTGAGCGCCGTCTCCCCTCCCCCTGCGCCCCCCCTCCTCCCACCGCGCCTTCTTTCGTGCCTCCATTCGCCTCGGAAGCGCCCCTCCGTCGCTCGAACGCTGCTTGAGTCAGGCGGCCGCAGACCAGTAACAACAACATAAACAGGCGGCGCACGACCACAGGATCGTGCAATATTGGTGGGGCAGACGAGGAAAAGTTTGGAAAGAGTGTGGGGCCATCCCGGTGCTTTCTGGGGGCCAGAGCGGGGCCCCTTCGGGCCTTTTCGGACCAGCCTGGGGCGCCTGGGGCGATCTTGGGCCGTTGTGAAGGCGTCCTGGGGCGAGCTCGGCGGCCATCTTGGCTCGTCGTGGGGGCCTCCAGGGACGTCTTGGCGACTCGCAGGGGCTCCTTGGACTTTCTGTAGACCGTGTGGGGCCTCTCTCGGAGCCACCTTGAAGCTGGAAAGGGGGCGACCGCCATAGGAACTCACACGGCTTTGACGTCTCGGGGGCGTTACGTCGCTTACCCAGCTGCCTGCGGCAAGTCCTGCCACCGTGCCAGCCCACCGCCTTTGGTGGCGACTGTTCAGGAGACCGTAATGTGCGACTTCTTGTGTCTCGAGGCTTCGGGGGTGCGTAAGATGTGATGCACCCTTCCGCATCGTGGCGGGGGTTCTCGTTCGTTCTCGTCGTCTTCTTCCCATTCTTCCGTTCTGTCTTAGGCTCCTGTTGGGCAGTCTTGGGGGTCCCTCGGGCCTCTTTGGGCCTTCTTGGAGCTCTTTTGGAACGTACTAGGGTTCTTTTGGGCCGTCTTCGGGCCCTTTTGGCCGTCTGAGGGGCCTCTTGCGACCGTCGTGGCTTTGTCTTGGGCCGCCGAGGGGCTCTGTCAGGCCACGTTGTGTCCCTCCGGAGGCCTTCTTGTGCCTGCTTGGGCCTCTTTTTGGGCCCTCCTGCCTTGAGGCTTTCGTGGGGGATCATTTGGCCATCGTCTTGGGGGCATCGTGGAGACCTCTAGGGCCGCCTGGAGTATTAGAAAGCCCGAACAGGTGAAAATTTCAAAATCTTTGAACAACTTATGGAAATTACAGATTTTGATTTCTTCGGACCCTACTGGCAGTCCCCTCGTGGCCCGTTTGGGTCGTCTTGGGGGCCTCTTGGGCCTTCTTGAGGCTAGGTCGCCTTGAGGCCATCTTGTGTCGTCTTGGAGGCATCTTGGGCCATCTCGGAGACATCTTGCGGCCTCTGTTGCCTGCCTCGGCCATCTTGGAGCTCGGGTTCCCGGATCCATTGTTTTCCATGTGGGATCGTCGCCTCAGGAGCGCGCATCCATGTTTTTTCAAGGGATCGTAGCCTCGGGTGAGGGGGCTGCTTTTCACCACCACCACCATAAGTTGGAGTGGGAGGGGCTCCTCCTCCTCTTCCTTCTCCTCCTCCTCCTCCTCCTCCGTAGCCATTTTGGCTCAAGGCCATGGCGCGCGGCGGCGTCCAAATGGATACCGCTGTGCCGCGGCCAGGAGTCGAGATTCCTTTGCAGCCACCCCAAGGGCGAGCTGCCGCCAAAGACTGGTCCGCCTGGACCCACAGTTTTGTGCCCGCGAGGGCTCTCCATCGCAACGCATGGCAGCCGAGGAGGAGCGGCGCAGGGCTGGTCGCGCTGGTGGCGGCCACCGTGGCCCTGGCGCTGCTGATGGGCGGAGGCGTGCTGACAAAGGCAAGGAGCAGCCACCCGCCGAGGACCTCCGCTCGGCCTCCCGCAGCACCAACGAGCGAGCTCCTGCGCGGAGGCGAGCTCGGCGGGGCCACCCGCGCTCCGACGGCGAAGCGGATGCCTCGGGCTCGCCGGCCAGTGATCGAGCACGCCATGGACCTGGGGGACTCGACCGTGCTGCACAGGATGAGCTTGCCGCTGCCTTCGAGGCCGCGGCCACCTTCCCCTCGCAGGAGCGGCAGGCCATGCAGGTGGAGCAGGCACCCACTGGCAACCCACAAGCTGGGCCTCAGCACGCTCCGCCTGACCCGTGGCAACGACCTGGTGGGGACCCGTGGCATGATCGAGCTGCTCCTGCCGACGGTCACGCTGTACCTCCTGCGGCGGGCACTCCCATCGGCGGGATGGCCACCCCCGTGGATGCTGGCGGCATGGACATGCAGGCCATGCTGCAGAGCTGTATTCGCCAAGCTACCGATGCCATCGCCGCTACTTCCATGGCACAAGTCACGTCATGCCAGACGCAGCTGGTGCGCATGTTTCAGACCCAGCAGGAGGCCGTCAACAGATCCCTCGCAGTGCAGACGCGCGACATTGCTTCCATCGGCCAGCGCGCCGACGCCCTGGAGGCGGAGCAGGCCGCCATGCGCAAGCAGATCGGCGACATCAACAAGGCCTTGGCCCTCGCGGAGAAAGAGCTGCCCCTCATGGACTTTCAAGAGCTGGAGGCGTGGTCTCGTCAACCCAACCCGCGGATCTTCTCGATCGGAGCGCCGCAGTTGGTTGGACCCGCCCAAGCGCTGCAAGGCCTGGAGGAGTGGATTCGGGCTGCTGGCCTCACCAACGACATGGTCCGCCTCGACCCTGCGGTCCCCTCCAAGCGCTTCAACGTCCTGGTGCAGGGCGGCGACGGTGTCGCACTACCGCGAGCCCAAGCTCTTGCACGGCAGCTACGTGACCCTGCTGGCAGGAACGGGTGGCGAGCCTTCTGCGCCCAGAGCGTCGGTGGTGGCACCGTCCCGCTGTACATCTCGCCCGACAAGTCACCGCAGCAAGTGCGAATGGAGATTCAGTCGAGGAGGCTCTCGGCCCTGTTGGCAGAAGCTCATCCTGATCTCTCTTTCAGTGCTCAGCGAGCCCGTGGCATCGTCACCTCTCAGGGCGTCAAGGTTGCCAAGCTCGAGATGGGCGAATCCCGCTACACTGACACGATCATCAGGTGGAACCCAGACATGGTTGCCAGGCTGCACATCGACAGGGAGTCCATCAACATGCAGTTCAAGAAGGCCTTCTCCTTGGAGGACAATACCGAGTGGATTTAGCGCCCCTCTGTGGGCGCCCTGGCGTCCCCCTGGCGGTCGACATGGCTTCCGTGGCCTTCACATGGTAGTGTGGAACGCCCGTGGCCTGCTCCTTTCGGACGCGAGGCTGCGAAGACGCAAGCTGGCACTGCTCGCATCGTACATGAAGGTCAACGCCATCATCGCTGTGCAGGAGGTCCACGGCTCCGAGGACGCCCTCAGGATCTTCCTCCAGGCGCAGCCGCAGAAGTACTTGAGCTTCCTCTCGCCTGGCCCTTCTGCTGCCGTGGGTGGAGTCGCCTTTCTCGTCCCTCGACACGTCGATGAATGTCCAAGGGCGGAAGGACCCAGAGCCGAATCTCTGGGAAGCAGGGGCGCTGCGCCGCGGGAGGGTTCCCATGCGTGCGCTTCGCCTCCTGCAGCATCCTTACCGACGCAAGATACCTGGTCAAGCACGCGAACCTCCGCGTCTTCATCGGCAGCAAGTCGCCCCGACACCTGGTCAAGTACACGAAGTCCCCCGTCGACATCCACGTCAATGCCGAACTACACCCGGTCAAGCTCACGAAACGCCACTCCTGCCCTGCCGTCCTACC